ACTGTTTTGTCTAATTTGTCAAGTACAGTATATGATAATATATATATATATATATATATATATATAGTTTTATCTGAGTTTGTGTATTAGTCATATAGAGTTGCGCCAACTTGAGATTTTTTCAAAGTATCCAAAACCAGACGACCTCGTCTCTCACTTGTGTGTATTTGTACGTAGAATAGAGTCACTGTGAGTGTACGGCATAAACAAATTGCCTGAGAAGACAATCTTCGATTATTTGGAGCTTGCAGATTGGTCCAAAACTTATTCATATCGATCTAAAATTGTCTGGGGATTAACTTCCCTGTTGAGTTGTACCCATTTTTATAGAATTTTAAGATGAAACGATCACTTTAGATGACTAAGTGGTAAAAGGCTGTAAAATGATAGTATGAAACAGATAAATTTATACCTTATTATTGTTTATTATATATTTGAGTGCATTTTTACTGTTGTATATTGTGACCAGGGACTTTCAATAGATGTGTTTTGCAAAAATACACGTATAAATACCAAAACAAATATATCGTATTTCAATACAAAATAGTTTCTACTCTGCCTGATAGAAAGTTGTTGTTTCTAAAAAATCCAACAAGTAGAACATCTCGGAGTAATTTGCTATGGACATCCAAAAGCTTTGACCTGTCTCAGGAGTCAGAGCCTCAGAGCCTCAGAGGTACCATGTGATGGCTATTTTCCAAAAACATTGAGTGGAATCGACAATCAGTGTGGACTGTGGTGACTGTGGTCCCTGTGGCTGGACTCGCTGGAGTGGTGACTCTGGTGAGTGAGGTGACATTCGATTTTTAATTAAGAAAAAAATAAGAGCCGTTGTTTTTTTATGAAACAAAAATAGCCGCTGGGCCGCTGCCCGCAAGACGCAAGTAGCAGACGAAAACCTGAAAGGGTTGAAACTGGTAATTACATTTGTGTTGATTCCAGAATTTCAACACGCAGAACCTGCTGATTAGAATTCCCAAATTATTTACAACAATTTGAATTTTGAATTTTCACATACAATTTGAAATTTCCACTCGTCTCGATCTGTATTCCCGATTATAAAATTTATAATAGTACACAAGTGTATCTGAAATTCTGAATTCATCAACCCCAGTTTCAACTATCAAGTATTTTTTTAAAACAATATGTATTTATCAACACATACTCACGTAGCCTTCTATAAAAACTAAAATAGACAATTCTCAGAATATTAAAAAAATGGCTTTTAGACTCTCTTCAGTCTCTCAGTCTCAGGGCCTTCAATTTTCAAACGTGCACAAACTGATGTTTTTTTTTAAATATTTAATACAATCATTAACCATCTAAAAGTCATAGTTTTGTCTTTTTTTAGGAGGCTATGCAAAAGTAGTATTCTCTTGGATAAAATACTAAAACAAGTACGGAATAAATACCACTGATGTCTGATAGTGATAGGGCGATACATGATAGGGCGATACAGCACGGCATACCTTTTCAAATTTCAAATACATATACTATAAATAATTTAAAAAAAATACTACAGTATATATCTAAGTATTTTTCTTTCTTTCTATGATTCAGAAGTCTATATACAACATGTACATGGCTAGACGCATAGCTTCCAAAATATGAACACGAGATGATATATTTTGTAAGCAGAGAGAGAGAGAGAGAGAGAGAGAGAGAGAGAGAGAGAGAGAGAGAGAGAGAG